AAACTAATAAATTGTTGGCAATGAATGACACTAACAGATGCTTAATAGTAAAAGTGCACCTCATGAGTATTGAAAAAGGTGCATTAAAAGCTCAACAAAAAAAAAAAAGAAAACATCTATGCTAGTCAAGATAGCAGCTTTAGCACAAACATAGCCAAATTAAAGGGTAGTAAAAAGCTAAAAGTAATGGAATCGGACAGAGTACTGTAACAAGGGACAATACAACAAATTTCTTTAGTAAAAACTAAGCAAGGCACTAAATAAGATCAAACATACTCAATTTGATTAATAAGATGGCCAAATTGCAATCAACTTAAAAATAAAAATAAACAAATGTAAGCTCACATGAGATATTGCATTCTACGATTACTTAACAAATTCTAACATCCTGAATGTATGATAGCAATCAGTAGCACAACTACAGTCAAGGGGATTGTGCATGAATGCCAATCCAAAACAAGACTCCTCCACTGCAGTCGTAGTCTACTTGCTTTGCACTATGAAAAACATTGCATAAACGACGGTATTATCAAAATAAGTCAGTACATGCCTATCACAAATTAAAAGTAGAAATATACAATGTTTAAAGAATAAACAGTAAAACGCATAATTCAGAAAAATCTGTTAGTTGAAAAACTATAATTGTCAAACTACATAAGAAAGCTTAAGATATATAGAAATTACCTGCATATCACTCACAGCAGACGAACTCATACGGTCAAAAGCAGTGTCGCGACCGCTCTCTGCTTCTGTCTCTGTGTCTGTGCAATGACCATTTTCTACACCATTCAATATAGCCCCATTTTCTGTTGGTCCTGGGCCACAGCGAGGGTGCCAAATGGCACCTCCTAGGAGAGAGAAAGATTGACAAAATCAGGCAACAGGTACTCCTACTCCATTAATTCGATTTCTGTCTAAAAATATGTCTCCAAAATTATACCTTGCAAATACATTTCTTCACCATCTCCAAATGGATCACCACACTTGGTGCAACGAGCACAAGTTGGATGGAAATGATGGTTGTCACCAGCCTAGGGGTAAACAAAAAGACAGAGGACGGAATTGAATGGGACACATCGCAAACAATGACACTCACTGAGGTGACTGGCACCAACAGCAAGCAATTGACCTTGCAATTGAGGCAGCTTCCAAGACTCTCTCACCTGCAGCACCTTCCCTGAGATGTATCTATTGCAATACGCGCACCTGACTCCAAACTTCTTCTGGTAGTCCTTTTCGCAGTACGGAACTCCGTCCCTGAAACAGACACATCGTGCTCACGACAGGCGTCTCGAGCCGCAAGTGCACGCCCAGCTGCGAGTGTGTGTGTGTGTACTCACTTCCCCATGTACTCTCCGTGGAGCACGGCGTCGCAGGTGTTGCACTTGAAGCACCAAATGTGCCACTGGCGGTCCAGAGCGATGAGGGCCTGGCACTCCTTGAGCTCCTCGTGGCAGCCGGCGCACTCGTTGCCGCCCGCGCTCAGGCCGCCGCCCAGGCTCGCGCCCCCGCTGGTGGGGCTGCCCAGGCTGGCCGAGGTGGCGCGGCCCTCGCTGGAGCGCACGGGGATCTGCACGCAGCGCGCGCACAGCACCTCCTTGCCCGTGTACGTGACCCGCTCGCCCGACGGGAACGCTTGGCTAAATAGACAACAAATTTAAAAATTATTTATTATACATTATGAACTATCTTCCCCCATTTTCTCTCAGCCCGGAAAGCAGCACTCACCGGCATCGGCCGCAGGTGAAGCACTTCTGGTGGTAGGTGTTGCCGAGGGCGGACACCACCTCCCCCTCCACGTACTCGTTGCAGACGGCGCACTTGGTGCCAAACTGGCGCTGGTAGTCCGACGTGCAGTAGTACGCGCCGTCCTTGCAGAAGAAGCCACCCTGGGCCAGCGAGTTGCGACATACTGCGGGCATGGGCCGACCGTGAGTTATTCAAGCAACAGCAAGCTGGAGTCGTGCGAAATCAGGCCAAAATACCAGGAGGCTGATTAGCTCCGCGCCCACTCCCGCGAGCAGACAGTCCCGCACGCACTTGTGCGTGCGGGTTGCCTACGCGTAAGCGCCGTGGTCAGAAACAGGCGAACCCGCCCGCCTGAATATGAACGGGGAAAAATCAGCCATCTGATATTTTATTCTCGACTTCGTATGAACCTCCCAAGAGAGCCATAAAACCTTATCACAATTTCCATTCATAAAGGTGAGGGCCGCGCAGGTCGAGCGACGACACGCCTACCTTTGCACTTGAAGCAGGCGATGTGGAAGTACTTGTCCTGCACGCGCAGAACCTCCCCGGAACATTTCTTCTTGCAGCTCTGGCAGTACGTCTTCCCTGCAACACGAGCGGAGGCGGTGGGCGTCAAAGACTGCCGAGACGGCAACGCACTGTTAAAGTCTTACGAAGAAAAATGCCAAATCCTTTGTAATACGAAGGATTTGGACGCTTCGTAAGGAGAAAATCCTTCGTAGGTACGAAGCATTTGGCATTTTGCTTCGTAAGACTTTAACTGTGCGGGTGAGCAAGAGCAGAGCGATGTAAAGAAGCGTCCCGATAATTTAACAAATTATGCAAAACGAATTAGGCCCGAGTTCAGGCGAATCTAGGTACTTGGCAGCAGCGCGCGCTCGAGGACAAGCGACAATTATTATTTATGAAAAGGGGGTAAACCAGACGGGCGTCATCGAAATGCGCAAAAAACGGACGTAGCAAAACAAAACAAAACAAAACAAAAAAAAAAAAAAAAAAAGGACTGCAAAAAAACTTGCGCGCACGACGTTCTTGCCCAGACAAAACGACAAGCGTGTGCAGCGTGCACACAATTTCATGATTTTGTGATCGATTGTGTGCGTGCGAGCAGCTTGCTGCAGTGCAAGACGAACGCCCCTGTGACATAGCGAACGGCGACCGCCCTAAGTGGTGCTAAAGGGAAGGGCCTGGTGCTAATAGACCGGTGGGGGCCAGCGAGGCGGGCAGCGGCGGCCAACCACCCCGCCCCCAGGAACGTCTTACTTTTACGAAATTAAAGAGTAGTAGTAGTAGTTATTACCTACTGCATACAACAATACCCACCCCATAAGCAGGGACGCCCCCCAACAGCACTCCCAGCATCGACAACGTCAAGAAAGTGCGCAAATAATCCGACCGAACACGTTGAAAATGAGTAAGGTTGCTGGGGAAGCTTGCCGAGGTTCAGCTGGTTGGTGTGTGCAGTCCGTGCGCAGCGTGGCGGGGCGTGGCGGGGCGTGGCGGGGCGTGGTGGGGCGTGGTTGGGCGTGGTGGGGCGAGGCTGGGCGGGGCGGGGTGTGGCTCGGCGAG